TATATATATATATATATATATGTATATATATGTATGTATGTGTTTGTTATATTAATAATATTTATTTTTATTTTGTTTATATTAATTATTAGTGCTGTCTATGCACCCACATTTATATATATTTGTATCGTTGCTTTTCTTCTTTTTTGTTTTTTATATTATTTATATTATATTTATTTTTTTAATATTTATATTATTTTATTTTTTTATTTATTTTTATTTATTTTTATTTATTTTTATTTATTTTTATTTATTTTTATTTATTTTTATTTATTATACCCATAGAAACAAATAACATTTTGCTTTTTATTTTCTTTGTTTATCATCACCAGTACACACAAACAAAAAAATTTTTATTGTTATTATAATTATATTTTTATTTTATTTTATTTTGTTTTATTTTATTTTATTATATTTATTTTATTTTATTATATTTATTTTATTTTTATTTTATTTTATTTTATTTTTTTATACTTTTTTTTATCATTAAACAGAAACAAAACCCTGAGAGGGCCCCCAGGTGACCCCGCGGCGGTGCTGTGGCGGCGAGGGGAGAAAGCACAGCAGAAGTTTATTTCTTTTTATATAAATAAATATTTAATTTATTAATTAATATAAATTAATTATTTATTTATTTTTATTTTATTTAAATATATTTGCTGCTGGGTTTGCTGCAGCTCCTCTTACCCCGCCTGCGGCGGTGGTCCACTGGTTCTGCCTGGGCCGCTGCTGCCGCTGCTGCTGCTGCTGCTGCTGCTGCTGCTGCTGCTGCTGCTGCTGCTGTGTTGCTGCAGCAGCAGTTGGTGGGTTCCTTCGATGTGTTTTCTCATATTCGGCATGAGGGGGGTTGTGTGTCTTTATTGTGTTTAATACCCCTCCTGTGCTGCTGCTGTTTTTCTTTGTTGCTGCAGCAGTCTTGCTGCTGCTGCTGCCGCCGCTGCTGCTGCCGCTTCTGTCTTTTCTCTGCTGCTGCTGCTGCTGCTGCTGCTTCTGTTTTTCTTTGATGCTGCGCATGAAAACCCCATCCCTTTCTGCTGCTTCTTTGTTCTCCCCCCCTTTGTCTCTCCCTGTAGGCTAACCCCTCTCTAGGCCCCCTCTGCTGCTGCTGCTGCTGCTGCTTCTGCTGCGGCTGCTGCTGCTGCTGCTGCTGCTGCTCTTATGGCTGCTGCCTCGGAGGAGCTGTTCTCCTTAGACTCTCCAGAGGACCTGCAGCAACCAGGATGCCTGGACCCGCAGCAGCGGCAAGAAGAGCAGCAGCAGCAGCAGCAGCAGCAGCAGCAGCACCAAGAGCAGCAGCTGCTGCAGCATGAAAATGAACACCATCAGCAACAGCAGCAGCAGCAGCAGCAAGAGGAGAAGCAGCAGCAGCAGCAGCAGCAGCAGCAGCCGCAGCCGCAGCAGCAGCAGAGGCTAGAGCTTCCTCTGTTTACCTGTGAGTTTCCTTTCTATGTATTCCCCTTTTTTTATTTTCTTTTTCTTTGATTTGTTTTTTTGTTTTTTTGTTTTTCCTTTTTTTTACACTCATTGTCTCTGTCTCCTCTGGTTGCTGCCTGTCTCCTGTCTCCTTCTGCTGTGTCTGCAGCTGCAGCAGAATCGCCTCCGCCCTTTGCAAGCAGCAGCAGCAGCAGCAACAACAACAACAACAACAGCAGCAGCAGCAGCAGCAGCAGCAGCAGCAGCAGCAGCTCCCAGGAGACCTTCTCCGGCCGCCTGAGGAGAGTGTGGGGTTTGGGTGTATGGACAGCTGCTGGCTACAGGCCCTTTGACTCTTCTTTGCTGCACAGCACATCTCCTGATTTGCTGCAGCAGCAGCAGCAGCAGCAGCAGCAGCAGCAGCAGCAGCTGGAGCAGCTGCAGCAGCTGCAGCAGCTGCAGCAGCAGCAAGAGCATAGTCAACAGCTCCATCGTCGTTTTTCTAGTGGGGCGGATTTATATGTGTTGCGTTACAGCAGCAGCAGCAGCAGCATAAGCAGCACAAGCAGCATCAGCAGCAGGAGCAGCAACAGCAGCAGCAGCAGCAGCAACAGCAGCAGCAACACCCCCCCTCATCTGCGGCTGCAGCAGATTGGTGATGCTGCTGCTGCTTGGACTCGAAGGGGCCTCAGCAGGTCAGGCAGCTGGTGCTGCCCCTGCGCCCAGGTAGCTCTTGCTGCAGCACGCAGCAGCAGAAGAAAAGCAGCAGCAGCAGCAGCAGCAAAAGAATGCGGGCTTCTCTTTGATGCAGACACAGACACAGACAAAGACAAAGACAAAGACAAAGACAAAGACAAAGACAAAGACACAGACAAAGACAAAGACAAAGACAAAGACAAAGACAAGGAAATTAAAACACACACAGATATAGATGCAGACNAGACAAAGACAAAGACAAAGACAAAGACAAAGACAAGGAAATTAAAACACACACAGATATAGATGCAGACAAAGACAAAGAAGAAACAGCAGCAACAGCAACAGCAGCAACAGACCTAGATAGTAAACATAAAAATAATAATAATAACAACAACCCCACCCAGAAAGCCTCTCTTATATATGAAGAACAAGCAACAGCAGAAACAGAAACAGATGCAGCAGCAGCAGCAGCAGCAGCAGCAGCAGATGATGATGCTGATGCAGATACAGCAGCACATTCAGCAGATGCACCAGCAGCAGCAGCAGCTGCTGCTGCAGCAGAAGCAGCAGCAGCAACAGCAGAAGCAGAAGCAGCAGCGAAAGACAACAATGATAGCCTCGAGGGGGCGGAAATAGCAGCAGCAGAGGCAACAGCAGCAGCAGCAGCAGAAGCAGCAGCAGCAGCAGCAGCAGCACCAGATGCAACAGCAGCAGCAGATGCAGCAGCAGATACAGCAGCAGATGCAGCAGCAGATGCAGCAAAAGATGCAGATACAGCAAGAGCAGCAGATGTAGATCCAGCAGCAGCAGCAGCAGCAGATGAAGCAGCTGCTGGTAGCAGCAACTGCAGCAGCAGCAGCAGCAGCAGCAGCAGCGGGTTGCTGGCGGGGGCAGAAGAGATATGAAGGAGACAAAGACAAAAGGAGACAGAAAGAGAAAGAGACAGAAGCAAATCTGCCTCCTCTCTGCTGCTGTCTCCTTCTATATGAAGATATTCTGCTGCTGCTGTCTCCGCCCCACGAAGACAAAAGAGAGACAAAAGAGAGACAAAAGAGAGACAGACAGAAAACAGAGAAAGAAAGAAAGAAAAGAGAGAAAGAAAGAAACAAAAAAGAGACAAAACAGAGACAAACAACAGCCACTGCTGTACCAGCGAGTTGTGTTGTTTTTATGTAGCCTCCAGCTGTAACGTAAACCCTAAACCCTAAACCCTAAACCCTAGGCCGTGGGGATAATATATTTTTATTTTGCTGCTGCTGCCTGTTGGTGACCGCTGGCGAGCTGCAGCAGCAACTGCAGCAGCAGTAGCTGTCTCCTTGGGATGCTTGACCTGCAGCAGCAGCAGCAGATGCTGCTGCTGCTGCTGCTGTTGTTGCTGCTGCTGCTGTTACTGCTGCAGCAGCAGCAGCAGCAGCAGCAGCAGTTGTTTCTCTTTATTTTTCGCTGGCGTTTGAATGCATAAGACAGTAGAGGAGCTGCTGCAGCGCAGCGACTCAAACCGATGTCAATATTTTATTTTTTATATTAGTGTTTAGGGTTTAGGGTTTAGGGTTTAGGGTTTAGGATATATAAGGGCTCGTTGTTTATTGTTTATTATTGTTCAGGGTTTAGGGTTTATTCCCTCTTTCTCTGGGTTTGTTGGTTAGTGTTTATGATCTAGGGTTTATTGTTTAGAGTTTACTGTTTAGGGTTTAGGGTTTAGGGTTTAGGGTTTAGCGTGTATTGTTTAGTTGGTTTAGTGGCTACGCTTTAGGGTTTATTTTAGGGTTTAGGGTTTAGGGTTTATGTTGCAAGGTGTATTCTACTTACTCTAGGGTTTATAATTTTCATCGTCTGTTTTTTTTTTTGTGTAGGGCTTTTACAGTTTAGGGTTTAGGGTTTAGGGTTTAGAGTTTAGGGTTTAGGGTTTAGGGTTTAGTGTTTAGCGTTTAGTGTTCATGGTGTAGGGTTTAGGGTCTAGCGTGTAGGATTTAATATTTAAGGATTCACGGTTTAGGGTCTAGGGCGCAGGAGGGTTTAGCGTTTAGTGTTAAGGGTTTAGGGTTAAGGGTTTAGGGTTTAGGGTTTAGGGTTAAGGGTATAGGGTTTAGGGTTAAGGGTTTAGGATTTAGGGTTTAGGATCTAGGGTGTAGGGTTTCGCGTTTACCGTCAAGGGCTTAGCCTTTAGGGTTTAGGGCTTAGCGTCTAGCGTCTAGCGTCTAGGTTTTAGGGTTTAGGGTTTAGGGTTTAGGGTTTAGGGTTTAGGGTTTAGGGTTTAGGGTTTAGGGTTNTATAGCTCAGTTGGTTAGAGCATTCGGCTAATAACCGAAAGGTCGCCGGTTCGAGCCCGGTTGGGACCATTTATTTTTTTTATTTTTTTTTGTGAAATAAATAAATTAATTTATTTATTTTTAATTTATTTATTTAAATTATATTTATTTTTGTATTTATAAATGAAAATAAAATTAAATTAACCTGGATTCGCTGCTCCTGCTGCTCACCCATACAGCTGCTTCGGGTGTATAGGCAGCTGCAGCAGCAACCAGTGGATGCCGCGGCTGCTGCGGTGGTGCTAGCATATGTTCTCTAGGGTGAGACAGAGGTGTTTAGAATAAAAAAAATAAAAATAAAAATAAAAATAAAAATAGTTTTTGTTTTATTTTTTAATTTTTGTTAGTTTTCTTCTTTTTGTTTGCTTCCTTGCTGCATTTACCTGTCCAGTATAAAGGTAAGAGCACAGCCGCCGTGCAGCCCTGGCTGATAGATGCTATGCATAGTTTAGTGTATGCGTGTGTTTAGTTTATAATTTAAATTAATATGCATCATAAACAAATAAAATTAAATATAATTTAATATATTTAATTCATATAAAAAAAGAAGAAAACATACACAGCAGCAGTTGCTGCAGCGATGACCTGCAGCTACTCCTCAACTAGTTTTTTTCTTTCTTTTCGTTTCTTTCTCTCGTCTCCCTCTTTCTCTATAGCAGCAGCAAACTACAGCAGCAGTTGTTGCAGCAATTAAAACCAAACAAGCAGCAGCTCCGGCCTTTTTTTTTTTTTTTCTCTTACCTGAGGTGTATAGACACCCCAATCCACCCCAGCCCCCCTTCTCTGTCTTCTTCCTTCAGCAGCTCTTGAGGCTTTCTCTATAACTACCATAATACGCCTGCTGCTAATAGACAACAGCAGCAGCAGCAGCAGCAGCGAGAACACCAGCACCAGCAACAGCAGCAGCAGCAAGAACATCAGCAGCAGCAGCAACAGCAGCAGCAGCAGCAGGTTGCTGTATTTGTTTTGTTTCTGCGTCTCTCCATCCTTACACAGATATCTATCAACTAAAGTGTTGTCTCTGTCTGCTGCTGCTGCTGCTGCACTTGCTGCTGCAGTTTCTTTTTCAGTTTCTGCTGCAGTTTCTGCTGCTGCAGCTGCTGCTGCAGCACTTGCTGCTGCAGCAATTACCCTTCTCTCTGTCTCCTCTATAATTTATCTATTTTTTTTCTTTTTTTTTTATATAGCTGCCTATACACCGCAACAAATATCTGCATATAAAACATCTCTCTTTCTGGTTTGAATCTGTATTTCTTTATTTTTTTTTCTGCGTATATTTTTCTTTTATATAAATACACAAATAAACATAAATATATTTATATATATATACATAAATATATTTATATATATACATATATACATAAAAAAAAAGAAAAAAAATATAATAAAGATGAGTGGAATCCTTATAGATTGTTTATCTTTGCCTGTACCTGGCCGCTTTATACAGCCAACAGAAACCCCAGAATACCCCCCATCAACAAACATACAGCTCTCGGTGCAGCAGGTGCTGCGCAACAGAAACGCAGCTCTCTCCCCCCAGCAGCAGCAGCAGCAGCAGCAGCAGCAGCAGCAGCAGCAGCAGCAGCAGCTGCTGGGGGTCGGCAGGC